CAGGACAGGCATTKAACAGGCACAGCAATGGGACCTGCAGAGGTTTAATTTGACAAGCTGGGATATCASCAGCAGCCTAGATTACACAATAATTGATTCCACTTCTGTGATATGCTTTGTGCTCCCTCCCAAGKTCTGTGACCAGCTTAGAGACACACCTTGGTGCGGGCAAGGAGTTTGGGAGAGTTGCAGCAGCCTCAGCTTGAGATTCTATCTCTTCTTGCCAGTCCTGCAGTAACACTGGGCAGCTTGACTTGACTGGTGAAGCCCTGTCTGGGCAGACTAAATTTGTAATTTAAGTCCAGTACAATGAGCTGCACCCCAAAACTGGCAGTTGATGGCTGGAGTCAATAGGCAATTTGTGAACACAGAATTAAAACAGCAATTCCCTCTTGAACTGTGTCCAACTTCTACACAACAATAACACACAGAAAAGGTTCTGTAAGGAAGAAAATTCCTGGTTTGACCTTGATCACAACAGCCTTTATATAGGCTGGCACATCAATTTACATATATTAACCATCCATGTCAGCAGAGTAGGAAAAAAATGTACATGCAAGTGGTTTTTTTGCCCTAGATAGTAAAACACCATTCCATTGAAGGCAAGATGAGCAACCCAGTGCAGAACTGCTGATATTAACCAGTACCACTTCAGTCAAAAGTGGTGAAATTTTTTTTATAAAAGACACACTCCAGCCTTTCTGTGTTTCCTGGCAGAAGCTGATTTATCTATTGTAAAATTCACCAGCCTCAGCAACACCGAGCAGCCTCTCTGAGGGAGCACACTTTGGCAGGGCTTAAAGGGGAAGACAARAACTGGTTTCCAAAGTGTGCAGAGCTGATAGCACTGGATTTTCCTGCTCGAGCAGCGGTCATGRTCCTGGTGAGGTACAACACGACTGTTCTTGGCAGTCCTTGCAGCAGCCCAGCCAGAGACTCAGGCTCGCCCACTCATTCTCAGCAATTGGAAGTAAAGGAGGCTTCTCCTKGGAGATCTTTTCAGTATTTCTGTCATCTCTTCTGTTTTTAGCCAGTTTAAACGTTGCCATCAGGGCAACAATGGTGAAATTCAGAGATTGGAGGCAAAGCATCATTTGAGGATAAGAAAACAGAATGGTTTCAGTCTCACCTAAAGCAAACGTCAGTGCCTTGCTCAGAGGAACAGCTRACCTTTCTTTCCCTGCCTTCCTGAGGAGATGCAGCTTCTTGCTGACAGAGCACAAATGGCTGGAGCTGACACTGCCAGGCAGCATCTCTTGGCCTCCTGCCAATCAGTGACTGAACAGACAAGGAAKGGTTGTGCTGCAGGTCCATCACAGCTTCAGGGTTTACAGATTCCCAACAGGACAATGCAACTCCAACTTGTTTTCTGTATGGGATTTTCAGTTTTCAGCCCATGGTTGCATCCTGCAAACCTCTGCCAAAGCAGTGGAGAGGTGCAGAGCCTCAGGGGGGTACTGGCTGAGCCTGTGGTTTGGGTGAAGCTCCTGAGCCCAGAGCATGCTGCAGATGGCTACAGGAATGAACCTTCTAGAATAGGTAGAGTGCACGAGGAGGGAGAGCAGGACACATCCCCAATGCCTGGACACCTCAGAGGGCAYGAGTGTCTGGTGTTTTCTGGTCTAGAGGCTCCACTTCTCTCATCAGCTTTTACTGACTATGCTCAGTCTGAAACTCAGAATACACATCACTGTTTTCATGGTGTTTTGTACGTTTTTAGATCACTTGCCTCTGTTGTCAGAATAGAGGGCCAAGAATCCTCCCTCCAGAACCAGCTTGTCCTGTTTACTTCCAGGAATCTCATGTAAAAACTTTGCACCCGACAGAGCAGAACAAACACAACCTATCCGTGGAGCAATATCTGTGATGTTTCCAAACCCAATTTTTTTGGTGTAGAAATCAGTAAAACTACTTCTACAAGGCAAGTAGGATCCAATCCTGCTGAGCAAGAACRTAATAGAAGATAATTTAAATTTGCACRAAGCCCAGTGCAGTCATCTGCAGTRCTCACGTGGCTGTTTGGCTCATGAAGGGAACTGGAATCTGAATGTGAATCACCACCACAGCTGAAGGATCTGCCAGAGGAATCTCACTTCTTGGAAAGGAAAATAGCTCTAAATGTTACCTTTTTCTGCTGYAATAAGTGCCATTGTAGACAAGCTATTAAAAATCTCAGAGTACATGAATCTACTTGCACTTTAATTTCTATTTTATAGTTCTCCTTAAATAAAGGAGAAATAAATGTCTCCAAAATGTTCCTGAGTAGGAGTCTGAAGTTAGACTATGAAACTCCAATGAAATACAAAGATGTTTTTGGTTCTATTAATGTTGGCAGCTTCCTTTCTCCTCTGTTACTGGCAGGGAAGAATATACCTGACACCAGCACCTGGGTTGAAAATTACCTGAAGTTTCCTGAAAAAGGGCTGACCACCATTCTGCTCCGTATCTCTTTGCTTTATTATAATACTCTTTAAAAGATGACACTGCAGTTCAAGTCCAGAACCACTCTACAGAACAATGAATAGTGTTCACTGAAATCACCATTCCTGTGAACTTCACAAAAAAACACAGCAGGAAAATTAAAGATACAGTACTCCAGACTGACCAAGTTTCTGCTGGCATGGAAATGAAAGAGGGTTCTGCAGCTAGAGGCCACTAAGCCAATAGGATCAAACTCTTAATAATGGCCATGGAAATGTTTCTTGATTTCTGTCTAAATCACTGATTGCTCAAACCTTTAACTGGGTCACTGAAATTTAATATTTCAGGCAAAGTAAGGTAAGAACTGCAGTACTGTGTAGACTGCTACACTCCAAGAGGACCACTGTATCTTTAAATGTATCCTGGATTAAACAAAGGTTTTATCTACACTTGTTAAATTATTGCACAGACCATTACACTGACAAGTACATTATGAACCCATGGAATGTTACAGTCTGGCCTGGAAAATAAAAGCAGCAGCATTATCCTTAAGGTCTCAATCATGAGGGAGAGCTGGCCAAGCACTTCTTGAACTGTAGTAATTATTAATGGGTTTCAATACACAAATGAAACATTTTAAAACAATYCCTAACTCTTAGGATTAGGTTTGGGAGCAGTGTCCAAGACTTTCACGCTTTTGCAAGTGGCACTTAAGTTTGATTTCTTTACATTTTTCTTGTATCAGACTACCTGCAGGAATCCAGCTGCTCTGTATTTTCCAAAGTTGAAGCTGTRCAAAGAAATCAAAGTTTGCATCACCAAGGGATTTGAACCAGCCACTGCAAAGTCAAATTTTAACAGCAATTCCACCTACTGCACATTGTGGCAATTCACTTGTGTGACTCAGAACTGTGATTCCAGGGAGTGGGATGGAAAGGGGAGCAGAGCCCTGGTCACCCTGGCACAGGTGGAACACAGGGTGACACCAAGGCCCAAAACACACACTCAGAACTAAGGCTGGATCCTCACTCAGCCAGGCAGCCTCAGCTCCAGACCCTGCACTCAACATCTCTGCTCCTCAGCAGCCAAAAAGGCATCATTCAGGGAGAGCAGGGGGAATGAAAAAATAAACAAGTCTGATTCATAAACACGCGCTCCACACACACAATTTCATGGGATGCATTTCTTCATATTTCAGAAACTTCCCAGTCACCTACTCTAAAAAAAAAGGAAAATTCAATTGAACAGAGGATGTGCAAAAGAAAATGCCCTCATTTYGTCCTCTCCTCTCAAAGACATGATCACATGTTCAGGCTCAGACAAGTCACTAAAAAATGCCCATTTGCCTGTCAGAGACCAGCTGGCACACTGGTTTTGTGTCTGCAGTTACATTTTCTGCCACTATACTGTTTTTTTTGGATCTTCCAGTAACATTCTGTCAGTAACTTTCTGTCAGTTGCAGCATTTTGTTGCTTCTCTACAACACTGCAGAAAGAGAGATGGCAACTGTTCTGTCCCTTCCTCCTCAACTTGAGGAAAAATCCTTACCCAAAGCTTCTGCTTGAGCAGGGCTCTGGCTGTTTGATTTAGAACATAAAGTTTCAAAAGTTACAAAAAATAAAATCAGAAGAACAAATAAATGGSTCATACCAGTTGTAGCTGCAAGTGATACATAAATAAATCACTTTTGTCCCARGCAAAGCTCACAGCTGGGGAGAATGTGCACAACAGGCATCACAATACTGTTGATTGAGTGGACTGAAATAAAGATTCTCCTGCCATGAGCCATTTCAGGAGGTTTATGAAAAAGAAACGGTAATAAATGTGTACAGGAGAAGCTGAATCAGCTTCAGACTGGACAGCAGACATGTTGATAAGGAGGCAACAGAGGTGTAAGCATAAAAATCCAAAGTTATGTTTGACATGCAGCTAAGTTATGACAAAAGTTGTACTTGGAACTGGAGAAAAAGTAGAAAAAACTCCTCGTTTTACAGTCAGGCTGTGAACCACTGCCAATAGTACCATGAGCAGCATTGTAAACCGAGAGCTCCCGTGCCTTTGGCACTTCCAAAGGGTGAGTGAGAGCAAGGACACCTCAGGGATGGCTCAGTCTGGAGGAGCACTGGGGTCTGGAGCTGCTGCAGAGGCTCAGAGACCACGAGCTTCAGACCACGCTCTCAGGAGAGGCAAGGGGAAAAAAAGAAATCCCAACTCTTTGTAGGACAGAACAAGAGAAGACTGGAAAATCATTCTGTTCACCATCTGAAAGAGCCTACTAATAGAAATACAGGCTATAAATGGAGCTACTTCTATTCAGACTTAAGCCTTTAAATTCTGCTACTTTTGAGGAAATTCATAATTTTCTTTCCTTTTTAAACTGTTGATATTACTGAAAGCTCAAAAACCTCTGTGAGGAGTAAAAGAAATGAAGTGTTACTTAAGGTCATTTTGACACCTTCAGTAGGTTGTTGAACAAATTAACCAAATTTAAAAAGAAAATGTCTTTTAGGTAAGTWACAGGATCTACAGGTTCACAGAAAGATTTCCATGCTGGTAAAGCAGACCACAGAACATCATGATTTGAGTTTTCAAGCAAGCTGATTGTTTTCGTGCTGAGGGTACATTCACAACCCATCCCCCAAAATAAAATGGGACACCTGTGACACCTTTGATGTTAAAGTCACAATTCTTCTCCAGAAGTTAYGGTTTGTGTCATGCAAAGCCATTTGCTGGGTCAAAACTGAGACATAACTGAATCTCCTATTCCAGTCCTTAATGCTGACAAGGAGTTCCTCAAGTTTCCAAAGTAGTGTTTCTTTAACAAGATCCAGGAAGAAAATGTGGAGAAATATATGACAGAAACAGAGATACAGCTTGACACGCTAAAGAATCGTTTGGAAAACATCTGCTTAAATTAAATTTTACTATTAAATCCAGACATCTACTCATCTTGAAAGGAGCTTGCTGCCAGGCTCTTTCCTCAATGTTCTCATATTTTCCACCCATTTTTTCTTGCTGGAATCTTCTTTAAAATTATTTTTTTCACTGTCAGATTGCCGAACAGATGCCCAGAAGGCCATAGGCAGCAGAAAGACTTAGTTTTTAACAGAATTGATAAAATAGACAAGTAGAAGGAAGAAAGAGAAAAAAAAGAGCACATAAAATACTCTAACTGGGGAAAGGGTATAGGTGAGGAAGGAAAACACCACAGCTTTGCTTTTCTAYGTAGCAGAGCTGCACAGTGCAAACTCAATGCATTGAGCAAGGTGGGCAAGCAGAGCCATTCTGGACATCCCTTGAGAACTCAGGTCAAACCTGTAAGTTTACACAAAAAATTATCTAGCTCTAGATTCCTTCTGAATTCTAAAGGGAAAAAATAAGTTTCAAAGTACTAAAAAAAAAATAATGTCACAATGTTTAAAAACAAAGCTCYAATAAAAAATATGTTAAAGACCATCTTGAATTGCCAGACTTCCTGTAGTCAGAGCAATCCATAAGGCATTGGAACTAGATGTGTCCARCTGCAGCTTGCTCATTTAATGGCTGTCTTTTCAAGTCACACCCTGTCCTTTGATTGCATTAAAYACCCCAAATCTCAAATTAGATGAAGACTGGATGAACACCTATTAACCTACACATGCAAGGGTGCCATGGAAGTGTCCTTGCACTGATTTCTTTCCTTTAACATTCGTGTTAAGAAAGCACTGTAGCCAGCTCCAATAGTGCAAGGAGAATATAGTCATCACTATCCTTAAAAAAGGGAGAGCCACCTTTATGTAAGAAAAGATTCAGATGCTACTTTTGTTTTCCCTAAACCGGGCTAGAAGGAAGAATGAATGGGAAGCACAAACAGATCAGAAAGGTTAACCATGATACTCCAGGTGTGTGTAAAACTTCCTCCCCTCCATCAGCCAGCACAGCCTCCCTTTCCCAGCTGTGCAAACCAGGGTTAACAGAGTTCTAAAAGTCATCCCACGCATTTTTTGTTGCCTTAGGAGGTTTTCTGGTCTTGCTCTCTCCTCCTGTGTTCTCCCAGTTGGTCTCCCAGTTTTCCCAACTGTCGCTGTTACTGTTCTTGTTGGAGACTGTTCCTGAGCCCCACACGTCCCAGCTATCCGAGCTCTTCTTCTCTGTGGAATTGTCCACATAGGTCCAGCTCTCACTGCTTGGAGATTTATGAGCTTTTGGTGCATCTGAGTTGCCAAAGGTCTCCCAGAAGCTTTGATCTACAGCATTGTTCTGGTAGCCCTCCCCTCCACTGTTCTGGTAGCTGTCTCCCTCAGCTGGTCTTTTGGGAGGTGGRGGGAAAAGGAAGGTAGAAATACGTTACTTAAGCCAAACATAACAATAAAAATCAATGACCCCAAAGAAAACTATAATTCTACTGCCCTTTGCTTGAAAAAAAACCCCATTCTAATCATAAAGGCAGAACTAAATATTGCTCCAAATGATAAGCTTATTGTCTAAATCACAAATTTTGTTAATAGATTTAACAGGCTCAGGAAAAGGGAATGTGCATTTAGAGTAAGTTTTAAACCAAGAGGTGTGCACTGCTTTGTTCTCAGTTTAAAAACAGTTATAAACAGTTATACTGAATTCCTCCCTATTCCATAGAGGACGACTATTAGCAGAGACAGAATAATTTCTTAATATTGAAAAATTACACTTCATTAGTATTCTGCAGAGAATGTACACGAGATAAAATTATGTGTTTAAAGAGACAAAGTAAGAACAAAAAAATTACCTTTCAGAATTATCATCTGGTTTGCCTGAAAAGAAAGTGGTGACATCTCTCCATCCCTTACTCCCAACTCCCTGAACCTAGAGAAAGAAAAAAAGATTCCATTCATTTGGACTGAACCAAAACACCTCCCAAGTCCAACAGCAAAAGCCACAACCATTCCACCACCTGTTCCCATAAATCAAACACATTTCACCAGAAAATTKAACTCACAGCTCATTAATATTTTTGATGGGCAGTTACGTGGTGGAAGAACACACACCTGACAGCACTATGCTGTTGGAAGAGGGGAGAAGCAGAGCAGACTTAGCTTTTTCACCCATTGGCCTAATACCTTTTAAATCCTCTCCTAGACTTCCTTGACAAAATACTGGATTTGGTCCTTACATAAAATTAAACTTAATGAAAGCATTGATGTTTCGACCTTATGATTAATGTAACTTGTATTTGTATTTCTATTGTTCTACAAAGCTACTTTCACTCTGTTTCAGCATYATTTCGGTACCCATGGAAAACAGGCCAGAAGCTGAGTCCTAGAATTGGATTAGAAATACAAATTCTGAAGTGACACCATGAAAGGTAATATTCTGAGTTAGAGATAGGGAGGATGAATCCCAGAATTCAACCTGAGAGCAGCCAGGCTCTAAACGGAACAGGTAACATGATTTATTTTATTTTATTCAAATAGTACAAAATCTAAGACACTGAGCTGGTCTATGAGACAGCTTCCAGTGGTGACTTTCCAAGTGCTAGGAAAACACACATTGCTGGGTAACAAACACCATGCAAGTTATCACAACAGGTGTTAGTTTGTGCAGGGTTTCTGTGCTTGGCAGCCACAGACAGCACTTACCACATCACCGAGCACCGAGAGCAACGGAAGGCAAAGGAGAAAGGTGCAGAGTATTAGTAAGTTTTACTGGACCAGTGTCACACAAGCTGTCTCCATATTCCCTCACACATTTCCTTTGCTGTTTGGGACACAGGCTGTTTATAACMACACCATGTCCTCATTCAAATTACTAAGAGGACAACATCATGCCTCTACAGCTTTTAACACCCCAGCAGAAGTGCTGTCCCCTGAGAATTCCACTTTCCAAATTTCTCTGTTCAACACAAGGAAAGGCCAAAGCTGAATTGGGGTTTTGTATCATTTTTTGTAAGAATATGGAGACTGGCTTGACTTGTCTGGCCTCCTTAAAGCCAGGCAGACCACCTCATACCTTGCTGGCCAAYTGCGATACCCCCATGGTTACCTCCTCAAGTATTTTCCCCTCTTTCACCTATGTGGACCAAAGCATTGGTAATTAGTCATAAAACAAAGTGCTACTGAAACCTTCAGAGAAGCTCACTTGTGCTTAACAGCTAAAATGTCAAAAAACCCAACCCCAAACAATGAAAATATAATCAAATCAAAACTAATGAAGTTTAGAAAATTATATGTAAAGTCTGTTGATCTATAGTGGAGTCCTTGGTGTCTGTGGGAATTTTCTGTGGCTTTACAGCCAGTTTGAGGAAGGTATCATTTACACCCAGCTTGAGGAAGGTATTGCTTACACACAGTTCAGGTATCATTACACTACTGAGCACAAAAACACCAGTACAAAAAAAATACCTGCAATGATTAAGCTTTATAAATATATTCTGCTACATATAAAGATTGTATTTAGAAACTTGGCAGATSCCTTTTATTCTCTTTCTTTTATAGATGCTTATTTAACTATTAAAAGGGCTTTGAATTTTGGTGTAACACAACACAACTGGTACCTTTCACCACTTAATAAATGGCAGTTGTTCCAAAGCAAGTGACTTTGTATAACCATATAGAAAATACTTATTTCAGAAAGTAACACTTATTTAGAACTAACAGCACAACATYCTACGGGAAATGGATCTCTCTCTTTTTTTAGCACAGAATGCATAATTCCTCATTAAATTGTCCTACAAAATAAAAATCAGCTSAAGGAAATGCACCCTAAAAATAATGCTGAAAATAATGCATCTAAGCCCTCTGAAATAAGCTGTGGATAATTCTAGGGAATAGGAAACCAATTAGAGTCTTCTCCTGTGGTTTGAAATGCCATGTGGCAAATGGTGAATTAATAAAGGTAATGAAAGAGGAATTATTTCACAATATGATTAAACCATTCTTTTCAAACAGCTCAAAGATGTTTGACTGAATTAAAACAAAGCTGGCAAGTACATGGGTAAAACACCAGGAACTTAACACTCCAAGATACAACTACTAATATATATATATATATATATATATATATATATATATATATATATATATATGTATATATATATATATATTTCAGTAACTGATTTTCTATCTATTTAGGGTGCATATTCCCCTTGTTCCATCTTCCATTATTGAAAGTTTGATATCTATAAAATGGCATCTAACAAGGAAGAATGTAACAGACTCAGGTGGACATGAGAAAGGTTGGTGGAGGGATTTTACCCTTATTAACATTTCACTGATAATAGCCTGGCTTTGAGTTGTTTAATGTTTCTCCTTCACAGAAAGATCCCCGGAGAACCTGGGCAGCTGTGGCAGGAGGAATCAACCACTCCCTGAAATGATTGTATTAATTTTCTGCAAGTCATTTACTAGTTCCAAAGTTACCTTTTCCTGTGCAGGTTTGAGAACATTTTCATTTAATGTCTGACCTAACTCTGAYGCCTATTTAAAAGCAAAACAAAAACAAAGTCAGTTATATTTTCTCTTAAAAAAAACCAATAAAACCCCGCATCCAACAACTTCTGCAGGCTCATTTCTCAGCAGTATCTCAAAAAATGCATGAAGCCTTTAACTTTGATTCATACAAGCAGAATGAGCTGAAAAGCACACACAGCAAAGTGYTGCAGGAGACATTAAAAGACAATAAATTAAAATCAGATGCACATGGCAACAGATGCCCAGAGCCCAAGCAAAGTCTGACCTTGCACAGGAAGCAGAAGCAATGGTTCAACCAGCAACGGCTTCAAGGATGGGCCCCTTGCTACTGCCTGCAGCTGAATATCTGGAAGAACTGACCTCATTCCCCCTTGTTTTTCCATACTAATTAAATTACTTGTAGAATTACATYCTTTGGGCTGATTTTCCCTCAATTCCTCTGTCTTGTAGTGTTTCAACYGTCACCTATTAATAAGAGCTCAAGTGTTTCTAAGCAATACACAAGAGCCAAAGCTGTGACAGAAGATTTTGGTTATCTTTTTTTAAGATCCAGGTTTGCAGGGAGAAAAAACAATGAACTTCAGAAATCTGTTGCAATCCAGAACAAGATGCACAAGGATATTGTACCTCAGAGGCAGTTTACAAAAATGTAAGCCCACAGTCTACGTCACAAAATTACTTTCCTAAGACAATGCTGACAAGGACAGCAGGTTTAGAAGAGTTTGAAATCACTCCTTGCCCTACTACCATAATAAGCTTTTGACAGATTTAAACTTCCTTCAGATTTGCCACATCATACTGACTGCCTTCTGAATTACCCTGGTTAATCCAAAAGGGACAATATGTGTGCCAGGCAATTATTCTTRAACACCAGCAGAGACAATCCAGTTTCATTTCCTACAGGTTTGTTAACACTGATCAGGGTGTGAGCACTCATGCTCTTCCTGGGAACGGAGCACCTTCAATATCTTTCCTCCAGATTCTCAGATGTCTAAGAAGCTTTGCCCTTAGCCACAGCATTCCCAGGATCTCCCCTTTCCCCAGCCATTATTTCTAATACTTCTACTCCTTATAGGTTAAAACTTCTTTGAGAGGAAAAGGCCAAATGTAACCTCACTTCCACTTAGCAAGAAACATGAATGCAAATCACAAAGGGCTTGTTCCCCTTGGAARTGAGGCTATAAAGTGTTTAAGAAAAACAAGAAAGGAGTGTTTAAACCTTTGAAAAACCCTTTGGAGTCTACTGAACCAATCAAACTCCTTATGTTTTGTAACAAAAAGTTTAATACACTCAGACTAACAGTTCAGCTGTCCTAAGTGGAGTCACTGCTAGAATTATGAACAATTCTTATATGATCCCTCTTACTCAACCACAGARGTTTCTACACGTGGAATGGAAAGATTTGGGTACAATTGTACTTTCATCTGAATCACTTCATCTTTCCTATTGTTGAACTTAGGACAGCACTCTAACCATCACTACAAACACTTCATTCACGTGTCTGCCTTCCAACAACACCCAGCTCTTGGCACATTCCTGGGGCAGACATGCAAACAGAAATCCTGAAATCATCAGAGTGCAGACAGCAGCACAGTCAATTTTTGGACAGTGCAGAGGTTGGGGATCTCTATCCAACTGAATGAATTTTAAGTAGGTTTGGAAAAACGTTACCATACAAAACACACAACATTATTTTAACAGGTTTGACGTAAGGCAGAAAAAGAAAAGACAGCTCAGGAGCAAATGCACATAATTCAGCACSAACAGACAAGGAGTCCATGCACAAGAACAGATGTGAGGGTGTTACCGGCTCTGGCTGCTGCTTGTAGCCCCAAAACTTTACCCAGAGAGCAAAAGAGAAAAGAGCAAGGAAGGTAGAAGCAGCTTTAGGCAAAAAATTGGCAGCATTTTTTCAGGCAAGTTAAGTAGCATGAACCYTTTCCAACTTTTAACATCTACTGAYAAGACAAACAATGAAATGTGTTTGGCCACTAGGCATCAAATATACTTTTAACCAATGTAGCGCATCAAAAAATGTTAAATCTGTTCTGCAAAGGGTCAGAAGTWTCAGGAAAAAAATTTAACCTTCACTAATACAGCTTAAACTCTAGAGCACCATGTTGGCATGGTCCTTGTCAGYAGATGTGATGAGCTTTTAAACTTAATATTATATTTATATTTTTAATAATGCTAAAGAACAGCTTCTAAATGGGAAACTGCCCAAAGAAACGAAGAGGAAGACCTGTAGAAAACTAAGTTTTTCTTAAGCCAAGCAGTAACTACTTCAAAGCTTTGAAATAGGAAGTTGGCATGTTTCAACAAGACATTTTTGTTGCAAACATGCCAAAGTTTGAAGGCAATTTGAAGGATTAATATCCCAGTGCATAGACCTGTCTGAACACCAACACCTGTAGCTGCACATTTGTTTTCAGCAACACATTTCTCTGCCTATCAGAAAGAAAACCAGACTAATRCTGCACATACACAACAGTTACTGTTCAATTAAAACTCCTGTACCATCTATAAATATATGTAAGGCTTGTCTCATTCAGAACATGGCAAATTATGAATCTGATTTTTTTATACATTTTTACATTTTAATTGAAAACTTTTCCTTGCAAACACATCTTTGTTATGTCAGAGCTCTGTGCAGCTCAGGTCTGATTCAGTTTGATAAATGAAATGCTTTTGTTATTGCTACCTTTTAAAATATACTGAAGCAAGTTGATTTATTAATATTAAGCAGTTCATGTTTATAACATCTCATTAGGCTTTAGCAGGGGGAACATGGCTTGCATTGTATTATATCACCAAGAAAACTACTCCATGATAGWCCATATTTAAGATTYACAGAAGGAAGATAAGGGTATGTTAAGTTTGCAAGCTCTACAGCCTCTCCAATACATCCAGCAGGTACAAACAGCAGAGTATCCTTGTTTATCTCTTGCTTAATTTCATCACTGCAGTTGACTGCAATTCTCGTGGAATTAAAAGCTAGAACTAAACACTACTGTGCATTATGAGAGAAAAACACACTGGTCTGTTGATGATCAAATCTCAGTCAATTGGTGCAGGCAAACATATGGCATTTAAAGACAATTACACTGAGTAAGAGCTAAATCTATAATCACCTTTTGACTTGCTTGAGATCCAAATCTGGTAGCCTGTGAAAAGAAGCAAATACATTCAGGTTTTTAAAACACTATCAGAATCTCAGAGTTTACAAACATTTACTAAAAYGCGCTCTATTTACTTACACCCTCTTTAGCAGCTGAGGCAATTTTGCTTGCTCCAGTTGTAAAACTGCTCCATCCCTTTAAAGRAAGTAAGAAAGTCCTAAGTTACATGTGAAGAATAAAAGCAAATTACCAAGTTTTTATTAAAACAGATTAAAGTGAGTCAAAGTTCTTCAACACAGCTTGTCCTGCAGTTGCAAGGACTACCTGCTACTGAGAGAAAAAATAAGAGCCTTTCACTTAACTCAAATATAGTGATGAACTTCCAGTATTTGTGTCAATTTGAACAAGCCTGAGATTTTCAGAYGTTGCTTTACTAAAAATGGCTACCTGTGTGGGAAAAAGCAATCCCATGCAGTGGAAGGTAAATTGTTTTCCTCACCAGAATGAACACCCATGCAAGGAACTCAGCCTTACTCCCAGAAATACAGGAGTTCAGAGCACACTGCAATGTGTGTCTGTGCTCACACGAGGGCATTTCAGCCAGCACATTCTCTGAGATCCTGGATTCAAAAAACGGCTCACAGGAACATCAACTATGTCCCCTCTCCTTATACACACATTRCAGATGTGCTTTCTAGTCTGAACTCTCTGTCCTAAAAGCTGTGAGTTATCTAGAAAATACTCGGCTGACCTATACCAAGTATCCTGTGGGATCACTTGGAATATCAACATCAACCTGTTCAAAGGCTCAGTCATTACCTTTCTCTGTTAAGTTCTAGTGACAATATTTATTTTTAAATCAACAGTGGAACCTCTTGTGAGGTTTAAACCAGTGAGGCTCTACAGAAGGCTACTGGCCACTAACCTTGGTAGGAAACCTTACTGTATTTCTATTTCCAAGTGACTCCAAATCCCAAATATTGTTCAGCAYTGTGACTTTACAGCCTATCAGAGCATAAGTATGGCCCTGACTGCCTCTGACTTTATTCCCATCTTATTTCAACAATGCATCCTTCACTATCTCTACTTGAATCATGACAACTGTTCAGCCATATGCTGTTATCTCTTCACACCCTGTCACAAGTATTTCAAATGTTTTCATCACTGCTCAGGGCTTACGGCACCCACAAACACACACATTTCAGTTGTTTTCCTCTGAACATCTTAATGCAGTTAATAGATTTAGAGCTATTTCCTACAGGTAATTACATTGTTGTCCTTCAGCCCTGCTGATTATTATTTCTTAATCCACTGCTATATCCTCACTTATTTCTATGAACTGATACCAGATATAACTCCTAAAGTTTTGCTCAGGTTTCTCCATTTGCCATTTCAAGTCCGCCAATATCTTCTTTACTCTTTAAGAATACAACCAATACTCTGCATCTCTCCATACCTACCTGGACTCTTTAGTTTCTCTTCACCATTTATATTCWCCTGTAACAGGGGCTAAACCAGAAGGAAATAGTAATTCAGAAACCTCCAAGCAAATTCTTACCGAGTACAATGAGGACATGGCRTTATTCAGGAAGTCATCCTCTTTTTTTGGAGGGTTTACTGTGTTCCCAAACCCCACATAGCGATTCTCTTGGCCACTGCCACAGGAAAAAGAACAAACAGTACCTGTATCAGCATGCAGTCATTAAAAGCCTTAAATAAGAACTGAAAAGCATGAAAGAATGACAATTGTTTTTGCACCTGGAAAAGAAAGTCCTGTAGCACCCAGCACCCAAAATACAAAACTACTCACTTCATAAAGATATAACACCAAGGATCCACTGAGGAATCCTTGCACAATACAATTTCCTCTGTGCAAGCTAATGTGGTCTTAATGATTCTCCRGGTTTAACAGATCACTGACATCACAAAGCTGAGTAAATCCTAATRAAGTGATACATGAAAATGAGAAAAGGAATGAAAGAAGCTTTATAAATGCCTCTGTTTAACTCAAATCACTGTAAGATACAATATACAATCAGAATCCTCYAGTTTGGAACCCACCACAATAACATTTGTAGTTACAAGCTTTTTCTTCAATGCTTCAAACATGTTTGTTATGCTACAGACAGAGGCACTCAGAAAGTCAGTAAATATTGCATTACCCTTGGTAGGAGCTGACATCATCATTTAACCAGTCTTCAAAAGCCTTGTCAGAAGAGGCAGTTGCAGTCTGAGATTGTCCAGCAGAACTGAAATAAAACATTCAAGAATCAAAGCCACGTAAAGCAAAACCCACTAGCTCAGCATGGTAGCTTGATGTATATCACCATAATACAGGTTAAAAATTGATTATTTATTTCATCTATCAAGTAGGGAACTCTAATGCAACCACTAAAAGGCATGAAGCTCTTGTTCCTGATTTACAACTGCTTTTGCAGTTAATTTGGTTCTTTAGTGCACRGAGTAACAAATACTACATGCAAAAGCAGAACAACAGGATGGCTGTGCCACAGATTTGATGCTCCCATGGTAATTAGCAGCAGAAGGGAAAAGGCTGTTTCTTCTTCCCTGGCATCCAATCCCAAACTGGCACAGCACCACAGTTAAGGTGAGGATGTCACACACTACTGTGACTGTCACAATGTCTAATTTCAGGTGCATTACAAGTCAGGATAACACAAGTATGGCTTGTCCTCTGCTCCTCCTCACTTGCCTCTGCCATGGTTTAAGGTTCAGGTGATGTGGGTGGGAATTACTACAAAAACAAATTCCTATTACCTCACACTCCATTACTTCAGCTTGTTCAGACACCACCACCAACACAGCAATCMCAGCAGACATTAAACCATCAGATTTTGATGTTTGATCTGTATTTGATGATGTTTTATCTGTACCTGTACCAACATTAGTTAACCAGGGTACGTACCGGTGAGCAGAAGACAGAGACATTTTAGGTTGAGGTGGGGTCCAGTTCCTGGCAGGAGAAGTTTCAATGGACCACTCCTTGCCTTCAGCGACTGTAGCTACCTGGAAGAGGCAGAATAGTCATGAGCACTCAGTCAGAGATTTCATACAAGCTATACACTGGCTCTGCAACATGAGGACAAGTAATTTTCCYAATCTGCTGACAACTGCATGGATCAATTAATATGTTTTCACAAAAAAAATTTTTCTGACTTCCAGGCTGTGATGTTGAATTGAGCTCTGGTTTTATTTCAGGCAACTGATTTTAGACAACATCTTCAAAGAGGCAGGTTTGGTTTGAAGAGGAAAGACTGCATTAATGAAGAGATGGAAGCGCTGATCACAGAGTAATAGAGAAACAGAACTACATCATTGTGTGTTACTACATACACTAAAGATTTATTAAAAATCACTTTGGATAAAATTGTACAGCTGAAGTAGTGACACTGAATAAACAGCTGCAAGGAACTGCAGCACTGAAAATTTAAATTACCTCAGCTAAACGCAAAAATGAAAATTTCAATAGAAAACTCTTACAAGAGCTGAGAAGTGAGCATTTTAAGACCACCAAAAAGGTAGTCCTGGATTGCCCACTCTGAGGTAACAGACCCTTGGGATACCCTTGGCCTAAATTAAGGCAAACTACTATCAAACAATGAATTAAAACCTTTTATTTCTGGTAGAAATTATTCAAACCTTCTGATAGGTTGAACAGCCTGTGGCAGCAATGAATTAAACATTCCTAAACATCAGCTGCAAATTAAACTTGTAAGGAGAGGAAGAAAGGAATAAGATAGGAAAATAGAGRTCGAGAAAAGCTTCCAGATAACCACAAGGGTTCCAGCACTGTCTCTGGTCCAGTTCCTCTGGATGGCAGGAGCACAGGCAGCCCCTCTCAGCTGCACTATTTACAGACTCCCACACATATGTTTTGTTATTCCCAAACTTTTCAGAAAGGGGTTGGGGGGGGTCTTGTGGTTTCAACTGCCCTTCCTCATCAGAGATGCAAGTGCAAARCTGTCTCAAATGCGAGTTTAGCGTTACCCAAAATAAGGAAATGAATCCAGAAAAGCTACATACTGCCCAAGACACGCTTCCCCAACCCCACCTTATCTTGCTGGCAGAGCAACATTCCTTTTCTCTTCTGCCGAATATTTGAGCCATAAACTCATTCAGGTTCACATTAACTCTTCCTGGMTTTCACTCTCTCACTTTACCCTTTCAGGAACCACTGCATAGGGTCAAAAGAGTTGCCACATTCCCGACTTTCAAAACCAAGTGCTTACAAAGCACTTTGGTATCTCCAGATCACACTGAGCTCACCTGGTCTCTAAACAGAGCTGCAGCTTTGCTGTTGTACTTCTCYTGCATTGTCCAGCATGGATCATAATCATCTTGAGACTCCAAGAACTCTCGGAATTTGCTGTTACCTCCAGCTTTCATCTTCTCCAGCTCAATATCCTTCCACTTGTCCATGGTTACAGAACGCACAAAACTGAAAAGCAGGTTTGAAAAGAATAAATTTTAGATCACAGCTTGTTATAATTGCATGCTGTATCAACAGTGACAAAAAAAAGCTTATTACAACCTATCTCAAAAGTTGAGAGTATAAACATSTTAGAGAACACTCTCCAAGTACAGAAAGACAGATCATCATAAGAAGGTGGGCAGATYCTCACTGAAATAAGCCAAAATCATGTCATTTATTGGCATTTAAAGGAGACAGTCAACAGAAGGCAACTGACAGAAAAAGCARCTTCCCTCAAGTCCAGAAATTAATCAAACCCACTGTGTAACAGAAACTTTTCCCATAGTTCACTCTGCAATTTTCTTTTTCTATTATCACAGATGTTGATGGTTGGAATCCAACCTTAGCAATTCTATGACTCTATGTCCTCATCTCAGAAATTTCATTTTTTCTTTCATGCCACTTACACAACAGTTCCAAACTCTCCTTTCCTATGCAATTTCAACTCACTAACGAGTTTCAAATCACCCCTTGAGAAGCAAAAAATGTACATCTGAATGGCTTCCTTGATTTCCTTCCTGGGCTTTCTCTCCTTTCCCCATTTGAGTAACTATTCCCTGCTCTGCCACTATTACAGACACACCGTGAGTCTCCAGAACCCATAACAGTTCTTATTCCATAGACTCCCATCTCAGCTGAGCATTTTTYGTGGAAAACAACCATTTATATATGATACAAAAAACCCACCATTTATATATAAGAAAAAAGAAATCTCCTAACAGAATAAAGCTGTTTTGTACATTAGCTTTATACCCAATTAGTTACAGACAAGGCACAGAGAGCAAAGCCCACTTTGGAGAGGAGTATGAAGCAAAACTGACAGTGAAATGCTGGATTTGAGACAGTCCATACATTCCAAACCAAAATATGCTGTTCACAGCTGTAATGCACCCTGAGGTAATGCAACTCAGTCCATGGTCTGTTGGAAAGGCTGACCTGAGGTGAACTCCCAAGCCTCGGTGTTTTCCTGAGCACTCAAGACAGATCCAAATTCCATAGGTCACACTCACCCACTGGGGGTTAAATGCACCACATTCAAAACAGAYCTGTGAAAGAAAAACAATTATCTCTGCAATCTGCCATCATTGTCCATGGGAAGTTTTCACAGTACAGCTCAAAAAGGCAAATCATGAAAATGTTACACACAAAATCATTTCAGAAGGGAGAGTTTTTAGTATTTGGAAACACCTTTCCTGACAGCCCAAACTTCCTTTAAGCATTTATGCTGTTTGCATTACAAAAATTACTGTACTGACTACCAAAAATCAGTGAGGAAATATAGACAAGCAAATGGAAATTACTGAGCAAAGAACTCATTTTGATTTCATCTCCATATTGTCTTGAGGAAGGAGAAAGTAACCAAATGAATTCTTGAGGCTTCCCTGGCAAAATAAAGATGTAACATTTAAAGTTGGGAACATTTATYCAGTCACACTACAGTTTGGCAGAAAATGACAGCAGATCTAAACAGTTTTTCCTTTAAAAACATCTTTATTGCTCATACAGTGCAACAATTTCAGTTTTATGGTTGGACTCACCATTCAAGATTTAATGTATTGATATAAATAAAACTGAGTCTTTAAATGGACTATCACATTAAAGGTAAGGTATAATCAAGCTACTTGAAATGGACCATTTTAATTAAAACTGTGCCACAGACACCATTTGTTGACAAAAAAAACATGGGTTCCAGCCTTACTAGAACTTCTGAAAGACTTATGACAAATATGCAGAGATATATGGTAATGCATAAATGAGATACCCAAATTTATATGTTACCATTAGTGAGCCATACCACAAAGCAGCAGCAGCAGCACTCCAGAGTACATCTGGAGAAGGTAAAAAGAAAATTCAATTCTACAAAATTGATCTAAAGATCATAATTTTCTCACATTGTTCTCATCTTGTGCTCTGACTTCCTTGAGGACCTTCCTTGTTCTTGGACTTGCCATGATTCTGCAAAGGGAGAAAAAGAAAAAACTAAATCAMGATCACAGCTTTGATTTTGCTAGGATGCTCAGTACCTCACAAGCACAGCTCTGTGACAAAGAGCTTGGAATCTAAACCACTGACTCACAACCAGCTGCAGAGGAAAAGCAGACAAACCAAACCAACACAAAACCCACAACCTTATTTTTCCATTTACTTTGCACTTTTGGTGGGATTTAGTCATCTTAACTCTATCATTGGAAAGGTGTAATTCAGCCAGCTGAAAGGGGGGGAGGGTGATGAAAATGGGAATTCTTCTATGTCACAAACAGTATCAAAACAGACTCTACTGGGATGCTGCTCTCATATCCATCCACTACTCTTCCCRAAAGCACTTCATAACATCCACGATTTCAAGGGATCACATGAACACAACTCATCACACCTATGCAAAAATAGCAGAAACTCTTACACTTCAGAATGCAGAACGCATTGCTAAAAGAGCACCTTACTAGAAAATACAACATCTTGTAATTTTCCAGACATATGGAGTTTGCTTGTCAACTGAATTCTAAGAAATTAAAGCAATTATAGGACCTTTTACACAAAATAAAATGCTAGCTCAACAGGCATGTCTCACTGGCAGACCACATCATCTCACTCTAATTTCTATGACACAGAAAACAGCAGGGAGCAGTGTCAAGCTACGGACAAAATTTACATTAAAACAAAAAATGAGATTCACATAGTACACAGCCTGGAAAAACCCAAAGTACACAAAGCACTCATGATTAAAAGAACTACAGTGCAAGGTTACTGCATGTAGTGGTGAGTAAAATCGTCCMATCATCCTGCATCAAAATAAAACTGAACACAGTTATTTTTAGCAATAATCAAATAATTTTTTTTTTACTTTCAGAACAGGAAAATGAAAGTGTGGCAAGTGAACCCTCATAAAATGAAAYGTATCTTTTCCAACAGCATTCCAATAATATCATTTAAATCGTCCATAACTTACTCATGTGCATGTGAGGAGGGACAAAGATAGCACTACACATAGCAAGCATTTGCTCATGTCCTAAACAACAACCATAAACACATTTACGTGACTCAAAGTCCTTGTCTTCAATWCCATTATTTGTCCCTAGGATATAGGGAGAATTCTTCCTCTGYAGTACAGAAATTAAGTAAATAACTCAGCAGGAATAGCCAGACAGACAACAGTGCACCCTCTGGGCCCTCCTCTTTGCCATTACTGTCACTTCTTTGAATGCCAACGTCTCTTCCTCARGAATGAATTTCCCAGCATCTTCCTGTACATTACTCACAACTTTCAAGGCTCCTCTCTTTGGCTGGATGCTCAATCCTCTCACCACTACCCTTCCTGAACCATTTTTCCTTCTTTTTCATAGGTTTTCATTCAAAATAGCCAAAAAAAGGCAGTCAGGCCTTCCAGCCTCAATGGCAAACATGCACTGCTGGAGCTGAACAGGAAAGCCTCTTCCCACTCCAATTCTGCACATGCCAAGAATTGTCTGTAAAGCACAAAAACACATCCATCCTCCAACAGCCAACATCCATCCCCTTTCAGTGTTTACACACAAGTTTCAGATCTCCAGCTCTAAGGTGACAGAGGAAGCAAYTGCTTTTGGTTCTGCCACAGCTTCTTTTCTAAATAGAATCTGAAACACTTTGGCCAACTGCAGTCTGAACACGTTCTCATTTCACAAGCACCAGGTACCCTGCCCAAATTACCACGTCTGACTGGTGGGAAGGCAGCTTCACCCACACCATATCATTCAAGAAAAGGAGAAAAACTAAAGCCACCACCTTTTCATATTATCTCCTTCAACAAAGCACTTGGAAATAGAGTACAAGGTTAAAATGTCATATTCTAAGCTAACAGGTAATTCCTTTAGAGGTGCCTAGTTTATCTTCAATGATTTTCCCACAAAGTTTTAAGGGGTCAAATTATCATTGATTACCACCAAAAAGCTGATCCCTGGYAGCTGGTGGCTGACTGGACATACAACCACTGTGCTGTTTAATTTTCGTGACTAAATACTGAAGAAAGAAGCTGTGCAGCCACGGTAAAGAAATATACATTGTTTCAATTTGATGTAAAAAGACACAAGCAGTTAAGAAAATGTTTAGTAAGTTTACACTGAGATGTTTAGTAAATTTCAATTGAAACATGTAGTAACTTYCCATTGAAAATACAAATATTTTTGACTAAGGGATCTAAAGTGGAAATAGGCAGCTTCACAAAGGCCAATCTCACACTCTTATTTCCCAAACAATCTGTTTCCAGAGCAAAAACTAGACACACATGGGTTCAGATTTTCAGGTTAGGAAATCTTTAGTTTGCTAAACACAAGCAAAAAGGCAGAAGTGGGCTAGAAGCAGAAGTAATCCACAATAGGACTTTGCTCCTCTGATGCAGCAGCAAATTCAGAGACAAMCTGCAAAGAGCTTTGCAATTCAGTACACGAAGAGTCAGTGGGTGACGTGGCCTGRTGACTTCACGGCCCTGAAGGTTTCCTGTGAGTCCCACCAGAGCAGAAAGGCCACAGAGGCTGAAGAAACCCTTTGAATCACACACTGTGCCCACCTCGATGGAGCTGGCACGGCTCACGTCCACAAATACATTAAAAGCCGCTGCACACTTTTAAAGCATTGCAGTTTCACACTCACCCGCCTCASCCAGCGCCTCGCAGGGCAGAGAGAAGGGCGATTCCTTCAGGCACACCTGCGGTACCCGGATCSCAGCGGCGTCCTGCAGCCTCCCTCAGAACATGGCCGGGTTCCGMCGAGCCCTCCGGCCTCTGCTTTCTAGGCAAGAAAACAACGCAGAAACAGCTGAAATAGCGGAGAGGAGATGCCTGCCTCCCGCCACGCCACGCCAGCCTGGCACCCGCACCTCGCCCGCCCTCGGGACCGTCCTGTGTGACAGCGCGGGGGCCGGGCCCGAGCGCCGCCACCTCAGCGCTGGGCTGGGCTGGGCTGGGCGGCCCTGAGCGGCACGGTGAACCCCGGCCCGGGGAGCCCCGGGAACGCACCGCGGCCCTGAGCGGCACGGCCGGCCCTGCTGCCGGTGCCGGTGCGGTGTGTGTATCTGTGTCTGTGTGGGTCCCGATGCAGCCCCGGTCCCGATGCAGCCCCGGTCCCGATGCAGCCCCGGTCCCGATGCAGCCCCAGCCCGGTCCCGCCCGGCGCCGCCGACGTTGCAGCGCGCGAGGCATTGTGGGCGCGCGCCTTAACCCGCTGAGGTGCGGGGCGGCCGAGGAGCGCCGAAAATACCCAAATTCCCAATTCCCCGTGTGCCAGGGAGAAGTTTAAGGGATTTGTTTGAACCGAGCAAAGCTGGAATTAAGCTTTAAAGCGAACCTCGGGCGCTCAACCCCCTTCGGGGTCCAGGCCGAAAAAAACACCGGGAGCTATCCCTGAGGGGAGGCTGCCCATGGAGGTGAATGATTTCGAATTACAGGGTTTTCCCTCRGTCACTTATTTATATAAGCAGAAGGAGATTTGCAGCTGAGGCCGTATGTTGCTCCCAGGCTGGGAATAGCAAATTGAAGGGGTGGTTGTTCCCCCCAGCCCTCTCCTGGTACTAGAGGCTTCACGTCCAGCTCTGCCTGTGCTGCTGTGGTCACTCTAGGATTGCTGCCCCCAGTCTAAGGGGGATCTAAAGATAAAACGGAACATCCAAAGGAGGCCACAAGGATGAGGAAGGGTCTGGGGAATAAATTAGAGGAGCAGCTGAGGGTCCTTGGCTTGTTCAGCCTGAAGAAGAAGAGGGAAGACATTAGGGTCTGCAGCTTCCTCCTGAGGGGAAGTGGAGAAGCGATTCCCATCTCTGCTCATTGGTGACCGGTGATAAAACACAAAGGAATGGCTGATAATGTGTTAGAGGGAGTTTGGTTTGGATATTAGGAAAAGGTTTCTTCACCCCAAGGGTGGTTGGGCACTGAACAGGTTCCCCAAGGAATGGTCATGGAACCAAGGGTGARAGAACTGAAGGAGCATTTGGACAATGGGATTGTTGGGATGTCCTKTGCAGAGCCAGGAGTTGGACTCGATGATCCTTGTGTGTGCCCTCCAACTGAGGACATTTTCTCCCAAGATCCTCCCAAAAGTGAGGGTAGATCAGATGGAAAGAGCACCAGGAGTTGCTTCGTGGTGCTTGGAAGCACAGGCCAGGCGAGCACATTTGTGCTATCCCTAACTTCTTTTTAATCATCAGCTGTAGGCACAGAGCAATGATTTAGTGTTTACGTCTGAATCCCACAGAGACAATACGCTGCTCATTTCAGTGCAACTCCGAGTCTGGCCTCCGTACTTAATAAGTAGGCTATTATCTGACTATCAGTGCACGGGAGATTAACGGGAGCCATTTTCATTACCATTAATGGTGGCTACACACATAATGCCCTCACATCAATGAGAAGATAATGGGCCCTTAAGTGTGCGTGTGTAAGGCCGGCAGAGGAAGGGGTATGAAATATAAAGCAAACTCRCCTTAAATAATTTGCTTTTCCAGTTAAGAAGAAAGTAATATCTTCTCATAAGCACCGTCATTTTCTGGTAAACGTGRACCAACAGGCAATGAGGTTCCCATTACACAAATGCTGTGTTACAGGGCCTAATGAGAATATTAATCTTTGCTTTTCCATATAATTGGTAGACAATCCAGTGATCGGTGTTGGCGTTGGCTCTGCAGCGGTTCTGGGTGAATGTGTGTGCTCACAGAGCCAGGAGTCATCCTCAACCCCAGATACTCAGTGAGCAGCCAAGACTTTACCTATGTGAGACTGCAGGATGGAGCTGCCTGGTGTGCAGGAGGAATGAAGGGATGCCACAAACATTTGTCTTTCTCAGCCAGCACATAAATGCRTGCCATTCCCTGGCAAATCCAGTTTGCGCTGTTCCTGGAATTTGGGATGGGTGCATAACTCTCTCCCCATCTCTGCAATGTGTGGCAAATATCTATTCTGAGATCACAGATAAAGCCAAGAAGAAACATTTGCAAAGGCACGCTGCATTGCCTTCCCTACTTGTTCGCTTTATCTGCTTTTGAACTGTTTCTAGCTTAAAACAAAATGACAAATATTTTTAGCACAATCGCCATTGTTATAATTGTTATGCCCAATGTCAAGAACATGTGAAATGTGATGATAAGGAACAAATCACAGCATAAAATAATACAAGGCAGGCACGGTATCCTTGAGCTGTTTTCCATGTTGAGATTTTCCAGATAGAAATAATTTTGCTTGGCTTCAAAAGGACAATACGCAAACATGTAAAGGTCAGTCTGATTTGAGAGCGCAGAAAACAACTAGAGCCAAATTCTGCAGAGATTTCATGAATATGTTCACCRTAATTGCAGTGAAGAAGACTAAAAGCAAATGGAAGCTTACTAAGCTAAACTACCTAGTGTGCAATTTTGCTTGTAWGTTAATGATTTTGTATGATGGCTTTGAAGCTTCTTAAGGGGGAAAAAAATCCCTGGAATAGGACTTAAACCAAAGACAATTCATTTTCACTTTTTCCTCTTTTGCAGATTTACTAAACTCTAATCTAATAATAAGACTAGATTTTGGTTATTAAATATTGCAGACACTGACATAAATCAAGTGGCATTGCCACTCAGTTTAAATTGCACAAAATTTCTTAAAAATTCTTTTCTAGAATAGAAAAGACAGCCTGAGCTGACAGCCTGAGCTTCAAATWTTAAAGGAAAAAAGTTACTACAAAACCCTGTTTTGACTTGTTTACTGATGCCTATGTGGGCTGAATTACAACACTCAGTAGCAGCAGCACTTGTCATGGACTGAGAAACCGTGGATTTTTATTGCCTTTTTCCTTCCCAACACACCTGAGATGAGCCACTATATCAGGATGTCACAGCACTTAAATTGAGGGGGAAMAAGAAGAAACGTAGATCCCTTCTTAGATAAATCTACTTAATAAATCTGAGGAGCAAGGAGCGAGGAATGGACCTGTTTGCATGATAAATGTCACCACTGGTGTTCTGTGTTGTCATTGTGTGTGACTTATGTAACTGTGTGAATAACATACAACTGTGAATATAACACAGAACTGTGTCTAGAGCTGTGTCAACAATAATGCMACCCCAAACTCAGCCCTTCTAGCACCAGGAGAAGTTTGGTTAATTGATGGGACTGTGGTAACACCCTTTTCCTGCAGGGCTTTTTGGCAGTTCTGTGTGCTGCATGCTCTGAGTAGCACACGGTGAACTGCAGGTTGTCACCTCAGCCACCAAAGACTTCATCTCATTTTCATCTCATTCCCCTAAAGAGTGACTTTAGGGGAGTCTTTGTAAACCTTGAMAGAAGGTTCTTGTTACTATTAAAAAAATGCTAGAAAAAATAATATGTGAAATATTTTCTGCCACGGGATGAAACACCAGTTGTAATTAAATGTTTATTTTTATATTATTATTTATTATGCTGAATGAGTAAGATTTATTTTTATTAATCATAGCACTCAGRGCTATTGATATTCATTGCATTTGGCAGCCACAGCCCAGCAAACTTACCCAGCTACAATGAATATTTTCATTAAACTACAGAAATGTCACATGCACTTWATAAAACAATCTCTTCCCTTTCTTTGTACAGGAAATATTACTTTTTTTCCTTCCTTTTCAGCTGAGAAACCCGTGTTTTCTGATCCATTTCCTCAGTTGACACTGGCACAAATCAGTAACTGTCACCAGCCCTGCTGGTGGTCAGGCACCAGAAGCCAGAGTTTAGGCAGGGATTTAGTCCTGCAGCTAAATCACAGAGTCCCGCCTATGGCATGACCACACACCACAGGCTCCAGCACTCAATTTCATGTCCAACTCTTCTAGGCACAGACAAGATCAGGACAGTAATCAACCCCCATCCTTCCTCTGCATATTTATAGGGAATTCACTTCTGATTGAGCTCCCTGTGCCCACTCCCCAACGCAGCTGGGAGAACATTTTAATGTGTGTATTTCTACTACCCATCAGGTCACTCAGACATCCTTTCATTATATTTTTCCACCTCAGAGCTAGAGCTGAAACAAAACTTAAGCAGATACTTGTGTTTAGAAATGCCCATCACTCCATCTCCCTGTGCATGTTTTTTTCATTTCCGATGTTAAATAAAATGTGGAAAGTTTTCATATGATACACCAGGAAGTTTGATATTAAAACAGCAAACAGGAAAGCAAATCCTTTTTTAAAAGCAGCTGTTACTGCACTCAGCTTTATGTTAATGTCACGTCCATATGTGTCACATCACAGTTTGTAGCACTGTCAAAGCTGTCAAAGTGGCCAGCTTGGTCCAGAAGGGTGAAAAAGCCTGGAAGTGCTGCTTGAATCTACTCTGTGGATATTCAGAATGAACTCTGGGAGGCTGGTTCAAGTGGCTTATTTCCAAGGCAATTAAGTCTTTCTTAAGTAAATGTGTGTAAAAAATGCTCCCTCAGCCTGGTGGCACCTGACACTGCTGACTTCTTAATACGCATTAGCTCTCCCTGGCTGGGATTGGTGAGAATATCACTGAAAACAGGGCAGAAAAATAGCTGGGTCTGTGTGTATATTCACAGTTGGAATATCTTCAGACTGCACGCTCCATCCCTTCCTCTGGGCAGGACTCACAAACACCAGCTTCTGACACTGCACACCCACATTGCTGCACATGTCCTTCAAAAGACATGCTGAAAGAAACTTGTTATTGATTTCTTCTCCATCACATCACATGAGACTTGCTAAATTGGCTCGGGGAAGTTTGTAAGCGTTTGAGAGGAAGAAATGATTTCTAAGCAAATRGGGAAGCAGCTTTTCTAAATGAGAGTGCCCTAAGCCAGTGCCCGRAACTGGAGACTGCTCTCACCCTTCAGGCTCTCTTTTTTGTCATATCATTTGAGAAATGCAACTGTTGCATGGAAACCTTGAATAATCACTTGGTATCAATACCCAGGGACCTTGGCAGCTGCATTGAATTACTTCTTGGTCACAGTGCCTAGTGAAACTGCGGCTGGAAATGTGGCTGCAATCATGCCAGCTACTCGGATTGCATGGCTGAGGTGCTGGGGTGTCAGCTGTGCTTCCCCTGCAGGGTTTAACCCTTTGGGCACTGCCTCCTCTCTGCTCCAGGCCATGCC